ATGTACAATAGCCTGTGGAAATGCATCATGTTGTTCGCAAAAACTGTTGAACAGGTTTACGAGATTGGTTTAAGTCATTCTCTGCATTTACAGTTAGAGGAAGTGCAAATGAAACAAGCTCCTTTAAAAAAGAAAAAAGGGGAATTTGCACATTCCCCCACTGGTGGGAATGGATCGTGTGCCTGGCTGCCTGCAGGGGGCTGGACGAACAGTCTATATTCTTGTATGCAGCTTCTCTATGTGATGGAGAATTCTTATGTGCCTTCTTTAGAGTAACACTAACAATGCTATCCTAGCATGTTCACTCAGAAATAAGGTTTTGCTGAGTTGAAAGGGGCTTACAGGATTGGAATCTTAACTCAGGTCAAATTCAGTAATAACACAGCTGCATGTAGTAGCATTTAGATGTGGGTATGAAATCTCTTTAGTAAAATATGAGTTTTATAGAGGAGTAACATTGAATTCTTCACTTTTCGGCTTGCAGAAAAACTCATCCAGAATATTTAAATCTGGTCGATCAATTTTAGAATAAAAATGCCTATTAATTGACAATGTATTTTTCTAATTTTTGACATTTTGATTTTCCTGTTCAGACAACAAAGGATTGAATAAGAAAAAATGTATTTAATGAGTCTGCTGGAATATTGTCCAAATCTGTGTGTACTTTAAACTCTGTAAGGACTGATGAATGTATGTAAAAACACTTCACAGTGTGATTTTTGCCTTAATGGTTTAAAATAGTTTTTCATAAAATAAAATATTCATTTAAAATGTATCTTGGTTTTTATTGTTATTACTTTAGATACTGAAAGCATTTTTAACCCACCCTTTTGCCACACACAGTACAACCACAACCCTTAAGCTTATTCTGAAACACATGACGCACAAGAAAAATGTAGAAAACAAACAAACTCTGGGCACTATCACCCCCAGAGCAACACCTCTCACATTTAACAACAGCTTTTGTTAGTCTCTAAGACAGGGGTGCCCAAACTTTTTTCAAAGAGGGCCAGATTTGATGATGTGAACATGCTTGAGGGCCAACCAAAGATAACCTTTTTTTAGGATTGAAGTTGTTGAAGTTTTTTACCCCAGGAGTTTTTTTTACCCACAAGAGTCAGATTAGGCCCCAAAACAGACTTGGGACATGCCTGCTCTAAGAAAAAGCATTGCATCTTGCACTTAATTGACTGATTATATTCCTGTGCTGCTTTTTGTTGAAATGAATTCTAAAGCGGCTTGCAAACAATAAATAACAGTAAAATGATAAAACACCAATAGAACATCACAAAAACAGCATAACTAACATAGAATAACTAACAAATCATCAGTGAAACAATTGCAATCCAAAAAAAAAAAAAACACTGTTAACAAAGCAACTGAAAACGCCACCACAATTAAAGCAAAAGTCATATATGATTTTCCTTGGTAGTGAGAGAAGTTGGGTGTGGTTGGTTGTCTTGGCTGTATAATCAAATAGAAAGAACTCCAGTGACACGGGTGTCAAACCACACGTGCCAACTATTAAGTATTACCACCCCACCTCCGTCTCCCCCACCTCTCCCCTCTTCTCCTTCCCCAACAGTATTCGAAACAACACATTCTCACATCAAAAGTAAAGAAGATTCTACAATTTGGAAAAAAGAGAACGCATGTTCTTTTGTAAAACTAGAAAATCTTTACTTGTCCTATTTGATTAACAAATCAATACTGCATTTATGAGCTATAAAACAGTATTCATAACAACAGGAGCCAAGAAACAAACTAAGCAGGGTTAAGTTCAGGCACACTCCACACCCCCATGACTCATAATCTTTCAGTGCATTAAAATACCCTTGCAAACAATGCCTGTGGCAGCAACTCCCTTCTGAAGGTTCCTCAGGCTGCAGGTGGGGCAGCACAGGTGAAACCAGCCCCCCCCCCATGGCAAAGAGAGTCTCCAGAGGAAGAACTGTGAGGGGAGAAACAGCTCCCCCATGAAGACCCCTAGGGCTGGAGGGTGGGGCAAGACAGGTGTAAAAAGGCAGGTTGCAGAAATTTTTTAATATAGCAAAGCACTACAGTGCTACACGAAAGAGCAACTTTTAAAATTAAAGGTGATAAAATGCTGCCTGACACAAAGGCTATATTGATGTGTGACGAGCTGTGAAAGGGTCACCTGCTCACATCCAAACCACACCTCTTAATGCTTGAAGGGCATCTATAACTTTAGGGATTGTGCTCCTCTTCTACATTTCTCAAAGACAGACGCAGCCTTGGGAAACAGGATAGGCGATGCTAAGTGAACAGGGCATGGCTGTTCTCCCTTAAAGGCCTTGTGTGGAAGCATCCTTCGATGCATGCAGTAGATGCTCGATCACTATTATTTCCTCTATTTCTGATGTTAAAGAGATGATCACTGAAGTCAAAATGTCACCAGCTGCACACAAGAGGGACCAGCACGGTTGCAAAAGTACGAAACATTTAGGAACAAAAGCCATCACACTGAAGACTTGAAGTGTTTGGTGTGCATGCAATATTGGCTGAATGTTGGAGGAGTGGAAAGCAGGTGGAGGAACAGAGAGAAGTATCCGGAAAAGAAGCACTTCATACTATGACGTTTTGTAAGTTCCACTTTATTTGCTTGTAGTACAAAGATTAAATCTATAGCAGATATCACTTAAATTGCACCTTCTACTCTAAAATGCATATTTCTATCATATGCTACTGCTTAAAGTTCAAGGCTTACACAGTACTTGTCACATAGGCTGCTGAACTTTTGTGTGACTAGAATTTGTGGCTCCATTGTATAGAAGACATGCTATATGTTCAGCAAATTTTGCACTCAGATGACAGGCCACAATCTTGAAAATTTCCTGCAGAATCCCCACTGATGTGAACAGGAGATACCAAAGAGAATTTATTTTCTCTAAAATTCAGTAGTTTTGCATTTTATTTTTTAAAAGTTTCTTTACAATTAGATGTATTATTGGGATTTTGTATTTAATCTTTCTTGGTAGCCTAACTTAGGATGTTTGATCCCTTTGCTCATTATTCCCCCAATTCATTTGAGACTTCTGAAGATGGTAGTAAAACATGTGCTTGTTAAAGAAAGCTTGTAATGCGTGGCCTGTTTGACACTAAGCAAGTTATTCAGTCTTGGGATTGGGACATATTCTGAAAGTCAACATTTGCCAAGTCAACCCCTGAAAGTTACACTTTGCTAAAATAACATACAGGGTTGTTGTTAGCCAATCAATAGCGTGCATTTTTTAAAAACAATCCTACAATATCATGACTTATTTGCTACCCTCTGGTGGTGACATTTAACACAGTAGCAAAATTATATACACATTACTTAGAGATATGTCCCTCTGTTTTCAAGAGGGCTCACCTCCCAGTGTTTTTTTTTTTTTTTAGGATTGCACCTTTAGGATGCCTCCAGGTAGGTGTGTGTTGTGGGATCTGTGCTCTCAAACACAAGGTTTTTTGCTGCATCCATATGACATCATGGTAATCAAAATGCCAGCCCACATTTTCCCCATTTAATTTAGTGTTCTCTTTTCTGGGGTAAGTGTAAAAACACCACCACCACCTGTTGTCAATGACCCATTTGCAATTTCTCAGCAAAACCTTTATGGTATGAAACCCCTATGTGGTGCTCTACTACATCACTTAAATTCATTGCACCTATGCAATATTTATCTATGAAACGTCCTTAAAATGTAGCTTAATATCCAATAGCCAAGATGTTCAAGATAGACGGAGAGGAAGGTCATTCAAGCTATTGTCTGTTGATGTGTTTGGATAGGCTGTGTGTGTGCTAAAGAGAGATAAGACTGGTCATGCAATGGTTATTAAAATACAGCTCCAACACAAGCAGACTTCTGCAGTCCACATAATTTGCATGGCTTTGCTTCCCCCTAACGTTATTAATTCATTTTATCCTTTCTTGCATAATTCTGGTTTTGCCAGTTGTGGAGAAGAGCAAAGGCACTGAAGATCTGCCCCTCCCAAATCACTGGGACTCTTCCTTTGCTTCACTTCCCAGCTTTCCAGCTTTCCGAAGCAGTGTCTACAATTGCAGGTCAGTATTTGCAACTGAAAGAGGGTGACGTCTTCCTTTTAACATAGCAAGCAAAATGAAGAATGGTGTACCCTGTATCCTGTTCTGTACTTTATGGGAGTTCCTGTGCAATTGCTGCTTCTACAGAGCCTTAGGAATGGGCTTGGTCCTTTAAGTGTAGTTATCTCAATGCAGGCTTCCATAGTCATCGGCTGATAGATATGGACTGCTGAATTGTTGCTCTACCTGAACTGCACTCTTGGTAGTTTTATTTCTTATGTTTTTAACCAGCCCTTCTCCAGCATGCCTACTGGCTACTGGCTATGACAATGATTGACATAAAGGGGTAGCAAGTGAGCTGCCTTGCGTGTTCAATTTAACCAACACAATTTTCATTGTTGAGCTGGAGGATTTAACTATTGATAACACCCCCTGGCATAATTATAAGATTTTAGCAGCAGGAAAAATTCTGAGGTACAGTTAAAATGTGGTGATGGCACAGAGAAGTTGGAGTCATGCTGAAAGTCATGACGACCCTTCATTGCCCCCAGGTGGTAAGTTTTTAATAAAATATGCAGATAGGTGATAGAACAGTCATAAATGCTCGTTAGTTATATGTATGGTAATCACAGTTCATTATTCTTCTAATCTGGTGATAAAACTTTCCTGTTTAATCAATCAACAAGTCTAAACAGGAAAACAGCTCTGTCTGATGCTGCTCAGGCTTGTTTCCTTACTTGCAGTGCAAACTTGTTCAGTGCATGCCTACTGTTTAGTCAGAAGTAAGCTGCACTTTGTTCACTGGGGCTTTCTGCCATGGCTGGGCTGCCTGGGGCTGATGGATGCTCTAGTCCAAACACCTGGTGGGCACCAGGCTGACACACTGCATTGCAGCCTCCGTGCGAAAATTAAATCCTCCATCTGAACTGTCTTATAAAAACTGTTCTAGAAGAGATTCATCAGACACAGCTTTATATTTATTTGTTACCAAAAAAAAACACTTGGGCCAAAAGCAACCTAGTTTTTCTTCAAAGTCCTGGAATCTCCCTTTTTTGAAGATTGGTGTTGAGAATGAGTTTTCTTTTCCAAATCTTGCCTTATTTCCACTGGAAACTCATTTAAGTGTAACTTAAGACAGGGAAGGCAGAATCTTTTTGCGTAGAAAAGGCTACAGTCCTGAAAAAGAACAGAGAAATTCCTAAGCTCACCAAACTTAACACATTACATCTACTCTTATGTATGGCCCCAATCCAGCCAAAAGGTTAGTCCAAGTGCTTTTGATGAGGCATAGTTGTGACTAACTCATTTCTTAGCTTTGAAACTCAAAGGACTCGACTGCTCCTCCTCCTGCTCTAGAACCTGCCCCCCCCCTTGTGCTCAGCAATTAAGATACATACAGATCCAGCCACTTCTTAAGATTTAACAGCCAGTCTTGCCATCTGGGGCGGCTTGCGCTCCACCTGCTTGCATGAACTCTTTTAAACGTTCCTCACAAGCAGCCTCTGTTTGTTTACTACATTTTACTGCACCCATTTTCAGCAAGTGCAATGCACTGCTGGGCCCACACCCAATGGAGCAGTGGCTCGGTTGCAGCTGGATTGAGGGTGACTAATTAATGAAGCGAAATATAAGATCAAAGGTTTCTTTAATCCAGCAGGTGAATTAAGATGTCCACAATCCTCCTCCACTTAAGGAAATCGTGGTCAGAAGACGTGGTGATGGTCACTGGCAGAGCAGTCCAACCCTGTTCATGTTTACTCAGAAGTCCCACTGTGTCCAGTAGAGCTTTCTCCCAGGTAAATGTGCACAGGATTGCTTTTCAATTTTAAAAAAATCTGCAAATCCATGGTCTCTCAATGGCTAAATGGAAGCTCCAAGGTCAGAGGCAATGAAAAGCTGAATACCAAAAGCTGTGGGCAAACAACACAGCAACACTATTCTTGCTTTCAAGCCCTGCTCACCATCTTCACTGCAGCCTTTATGGAAGCTTACCTCATGCTCTCTAGCCATTTGGAACTACCACTCCCATCACCCCTGACTCTTGACCAGGTTGAATGGGGCGGGTGGGAGCTGGAGTTCAACATATGCAGGGAATCAGAGTGCAGAAGGTTGACAGATGGCCAACATTAAGGGACCCTTGGCCTGGCTGCATAGGGCTCCCTGGTCAATTACAACTTGTGCAAGGTCTGTATAACAAGCCTAAATAAATATATTTTGCTATAGGCCAATGAAGGGTGTAAGATCTGTTCCAGGAGGAGGCCAAAGCTGATTCCTATCAGACTTGCTTTGAACAAACCTGGAATCCTTAGCTCAATATCATTTTAGAGAACTGGAAGCGGGGAAAGAAATGGGTTATGAATTACGTTTTTCGGAGAATCTTACAGTTGGAAGGGAAACATTTAGCATGTAGCAGATGTGATGAAACAGTTCCTCAAGTTGCACAACTTGGGAAAATCCGTTTTTCCTGCAACGCCTCATAATGGTTCCTTATATCCACAACTCCTTCAAGTAAGGGCTGCCGGTCATGACGCACCGTGTAGCATTGTGGCTATAGGAGATAACATCCAGAGAAGCTTGCAACACCAAAGCAACCCACAGATCTTCATCACAAAAGAAGCCAAACAAAGCTCAAAAGCTAAGAAACAGTCTCCCAAAAGGACTGTGCCGTTTGCTATGTCCTGTGCAAACGAAAATAAATGGCAGAATTCTTCTTGCCCCCCCAAAACTCTAGAAACACAGCCTAGGGGAGAAGTGCTGGGGGCTCCTCAAGGGACATTCTCAATGCTTCAGCAAAATCCAATTTTTAGGATTCTTTGGAGGAAGTCACAAAAATGAAAATGGCATAAAACCAATATACATTTGTAGTATAAGTATTCCCTTCATGGTCAAATAATCCAGGCATTAGGTATGGTATGTTGCTATGGTGAGCAATGTAAATAACAGGCTCACTCTGGGCAGTGTGACTGGCATCACAAACACACCCACCCAGTAGTTAAGTTCCTGTGGTTCCATGGCATATTTATGAACATTCAAGCAGCTGAAGAGCAAGTATGAGATGGCCAATTGTTCAGCTGCTGGTGAAGACTTTCTGTTGAGCCTGGCAGGAGATTCACAGAAGGCCTGGGAACAGAATGACCCTGAACTGTTGATAAGAAAATGACCAGAGAAAAGGAGCACTTAAGGTGTTGATCCTTCAGAGGGCCATTAGAAAAACTGAATTATGGAACTGTATTTTGAAGTAGTATATAAAAGGTAATGGCAAAGCAAGGGTGGAAAAAAGGTTATGTTCCACTTGGCTTGATTTTCAGCCTCTAGGTCACAGCCTATGAAACTAACATCAGAGATATAAACGCAACAGGCATCACGTGCTACTTACTGTGCCAACACACACATGCTTGCAACACAAACTGCACTGAGACCCAAGTATGAGGAATTTGTCCTTGTCAGAGGTGAATGGATCCTTCATGACATAGCATTCCTCCAGAAGGCTGGGAAAGAATCATTCCACATTTTAAAGAGATAGCACTGGCAAGGAGCAACTCACATTCCCATATCCAATCTTAAGGACCAGGTCAGTGGCTAATATTCAGCAGGGACTGTATCTGTACTGAGTAAAGGGCTGCAGGGCTAATGGCACTGAGTCAGGGCAGAGCCAGAGGAGAGGCATGATACCCTTCTCACAGGCATTCCATTCACCACTGTGGGAAACAGCATACCAGGCCTCCCTCAAAAGTGAAGCTTCAGCTGAATCCTTCCCTAAGCTCCCCTCTTCAGCTGACTTTCTCAAGACAAAGGCAAAGGCTCTAGAGCGCCACACCCCCTCCCAGCAAGAACCACAACAGTGGGGATGTCGGGAGTTGCTTTCCTTCCGGCCTTCAGCAACCAACTCCCGTGCATGAGCCAAGACGCAGGCAAGTAGGAGTGAGCAGCTGAGGGGCAAAACAAGAGAAGGGATCTGCCAGAGACGGCAACCATTTTGTGCCCTCTCTGGAATTAACCTGCTGTTTCCAAAGGACAATTCTCACACTCCGAAAGGGCACAGAACAACTTGCTCCTGGCCCCAACCCTGCCTGCCTTTGGCAGACACCAGATGCTGAATGCTCCAGGGACCAAAATAGATTTTCTCATCATGAAACTAGGGGACTCTTGAATGCAGCTGAAAAACAGTGAAGGGTCACTGTGAGGTAAAGGAACAGTTTTGTTATCACTGACAGGTAAATTGAAAATGATCCTTCTCCCCACTCCCTGCAAAAAGTAAGGGATAGAAACATGGTCCCCATTTAAATATCAAGCTCTCAATAAAACTGTGTCCCATGTTAGAGGGCAGCAGTTTCCGCTATCTTATTAGCAAGCCATTCTTGAATCCATAATGCAGGATCTGCAACCTGGTGCCCTCCAGATGTTTTGTCGACAACTCCCTTCAGCACAGGCCAGCATGGCCACTGCTGAGTGTGGCCACTGGAAGTTGTAGCTGAAAACATCTGGAGGGCATCACTTTGCAGTAAGGCCAGAGCTATAGGTCACACTCTGGAACTTTCATTCTCAGTTCTCAGGAAACAGTGAGTAGAGCTCAAGATTTCTAGCAGGGAATTCTTAAGACCCTCACCAAGTATAATTTCTGGACCTCTTGAGAAGTGAACTTATAAGAACCAGTTGTTCTTGGGTGCCTGTTTCCACATTCCTACTTTATGTGGGAAGGGGCCTGACATCAGTTCAGCTTGAAGGTGCCACAAGCCTCTTTGTACTTTTTTGAAAGCAAGACTCCTCAAATATTTCGGTCCTAGCTACACATTTGGCAAAAAACACGTGACTGGGACTCCCTTTCTCTGTGCAGGTGCAGACCTAGTTTTCAGAAGACACAGGTGTGGGGAGGTGCTTACACACATAAACTGTTACCTTTCCCAATTTCATAGGAAAATCTGCTTGGGGTGTAGCAAGGAGAAAGCAGCAGACAAAGGAAGGGCAGGGAAGCTGGGGACCACCCATCACGGCTGCTCTGCAAATCCCTGCAAAAAGAGACCAGGTGGCTGAAATTCCCATCTCTGGGCTAGCCACTGGCCCTCCGCTACATGGCATAGTGGAGATACTATCATTGGTGGACAGCACAGGGAGTAAGTGGTAAGAGATGTACTTACGTAACACAGGCAGCATTTGGAGGTTTCTGCCCGTAGTAGCTGTACGGGGCAGTTAATCCACACAACTCACACTCAAAAGTGCCACAGCACTGGGACTCCTTGCTGCACTTCATCTGGGAATGCTGCCGACCAAATGCCCAAACAGATGGATTTGTACGTGGAGCCACTCAGCTGGTCCAGGACTGTCCAGAGTGGTCCACATGTGCTGCACCTGAAACTGAAAGCTAGACTTGCATTAGCAGCACCCCAAGTTCTTACACACCCAGGGAGGGGGAGGGGGACCAATCACAGTCCTGGGTCTTAATTTCCTCCAGTGTCAGAGGCAGAATGCAAACAGTGAGGCCTGCATCTGGCTGGCCACCATACAGGGAACAGAAGGTGGGGTGAGGTGGGCTTTTGATTTAAATAGGGATCTTCTCATCTGCTCAAAACAGTCAGCCGTTTCATAACATCTCAAAGCAGCCAGTGTGGAATTAAGATGGGAGTTATTATTTGCTTACTCTGAAAATGTGTGGAACTCCTGTCACCAAATATTCTGGGATTAGCAGCTGGGGATAAGACAAACCTAGAACTTTTGAGTGTTCAAAGCAGACGCCACCTTCTACAAAGAGCGAGGGGGGAAAGGTCTCTTCCCCCAACAGGTGCAGAAGAGACAGCAGAGGAAAGGAGGCAGGGAGAAGAGGAAGAAGAATGACTGGCAGGCCTGGTTACAGGAGCGCAGGGGGATCAGGCTACATGTTTTAGCTTATTCATTACTACAATCTTGTAGATGAGAATATGTTTGTAGGCATGTGCAGGATACATGAGTGCTAAGGTTAAGGAGTTATAATAGCTTGCCAAAGATCACCTATAAATTCATGCCAGATATGAGATTTGAACTGGGGACTAAATACAGTGGTACCTCGGTCTAAGAACAGCCCTGCTTATGAACTATTCGATTTACGAACTCCGCAAAACCGGAAATTGTGTCCCGGTTTGCGAACTTTACCTCGGTCTAAGAACGGAATCCGAACGGTGGAAGGGCATCGGCGGCAGAAGGCCTCATTAGGGAAAGTGCGCCTCAGTTTAAAAATGGTTTCGGTTTAAGAAGGGACTTCCGAAACAGATGAAGTTTGTAAACCGAGGTACCACTGTATTAAGTATGCACCAAAACTCTCAGCACTTACAAACTTAGTGTACCTGGGAAATAGGTCAGAAATCTCCTTCTGGTGTTCTAATTTTGAATGTATAGCAGGGATTGGTGTTGTTGTTGTTTAATTAAAGAGAAATGGAGGTGGAGCATTTAGTCGCAACAGGGCTGTGTTGTGCAACTGCTCTGACCGTCTAGGTGGCTCCACGTGAAATCCTTAAACGAGTTAACCATGATTGGTGTAGAGTATAATGAGATTTCACTGAGAAGATAGCATGATGTTGAACCAGTAGGAGACTGTCATTATCATACAACTATTTGCACTAGAAGACATGCTATTTACCACCATGCGCCCAGTTTATATGCTCAACCAACTGAGGGCTGTGATTTCCACAGGGTGGGAGCACTGGGATACGATGCTTGAACATGCTGGGCCAATGTCCTTCACCCTCCAAAGTGTTATGGGGGGAGGGGAGGATAGTCACACAAATCAAGCCTAAAGGCATAGAGGCCAATGCATGTCGTGCCCACATAACACATGTGCACTGCTGGGAGGGAATCCTCAGGCATGTGAATGTGTGAGCTGGGCGCCAGTAAGGATGGAGGTTCCTTCCAGAAGCTCTCTTACAAATCCAAAGAGAACAGCAAAGTAAGGTGGGCAGGTATCATGTTTTACTTGCTTCTCCTCTTCTTATGCAAGCCTTTAAGAGTGACTATTTTTATGTGGCTTTTAATTCTCCACAGCTGCTCTTTATCAGCTAATTGTTCTGCATATTAAGGAAGCACTAACAGATGTACTTTGCACAGACAAGCCTGAACTGAATCTTGGGTTTATGTCAGGGAGGCCTTCCATACCCTTTATTTAATTTTACCAGATTAAATTCATACTGGCACTTGTGGCCTTCCTCCGCTGCAGGGAGTTCGCACACATGGTTATTTAAATGCCAAGGAGGACCAATTAGCATATTTACAGCTTTGGATAGCAGAGTGTTCTCAGGATCAAGCTGCCCCCATCTACCCCTGAAGGTGTAAACTGCCTCCTCACCTCCATTCAGACATGATTAAAGGGGTCTCCAAGATATTAGAAAGTAGGAAATGGGATGCAACAAAACCCTCAAATCATGTTGTTAGAGAGGAATAAAATAAGAAGTTAGAAGAGCACAAACATTGTATTAGCTGCATATATGCTAACCATAGCATGCACATCAACGGCAAAACATGGAAGTCAGCTATTTTATCAACTCTTAGTCAATGAGGGGGAAATATGTGGACTACTATGTGAATGAATAAGATCAGGGCCTGTAAATATTTGGAGTTGGTGTGCTCATCATCATTTTTTCATTTATTGGTAATTATATTAAGTAACTCAATTTGCAAATGTAAAATGAAGGTATCAGATATTTATTTTTTAAAAGGGGTGTTGCATTACTAGCTGAGAGAGAAGCGACAGGGATAATCCCATATGCTCAGCTGGTTGTAACCCGCCACCATTTGTGGAGCTGAGAGCAGGCACCTCCTTTTTCTGAATGTGTGCGGGGGGGGTGGGTTACTGAAGTGTGCTCTGCGTCAGAAACAGAGATGGAGAGGTGCAGGCAGGTGAGAAAGACCAAGAGCATGAATTTGTGACCTGTGAATGGGAGGGAGAGAGGAAGAGGCATGTGTGGTGATGAGACCTGTTCCAGCAGGACCTTGCAGACTTACCACCTGACGCTGTCTGGGTGTGAAGAGCAACAGCAAATGACCCTCTTCTAATTTTGTTATGCCACAAACCCCAAATAGCAGCCAGTTTGTGGCACCCGCAGCATTTTCTCAAACTTCACTATGTGCCTCTTGGTCCACAAAGTTTGGCAGCCCCTGCACTCAAGGTCAGGAGCTCATTCAAGAATCCCACTCCGCCCCCTGAATGCCAGAGGATGCCCTGCGAAGGTGTGAGCACCGCTGCCCCCTAGAGGGCAGGAACAGAACTTCCCGGTGCACATCCCGCCCGCCCCCCAAAGCCGGCCATTACATTCTAGGGGTAATTCCATTATTGACAAGGACATGTCTATCTCCACATCTGTTTTTCGCAGACCTGGCAGCAATAAAACTGCTAGCACATTGGCAAAGTGAAGCGGGGGCCGGTATGGGGGGGCCGCATGTTGAAACTACTAGATGACCCTGGAAGGGACCTGCTAAGGGACCCGACTAAGAAGCGGCGGGGAGGAAGAAGCACTTCTGGGCTGCGCAGCTCCGAGGGCAAGAGGGAGACGCGCCTCCAAAGGCCAAGGGCGGAGGCTCCTCGCTTGCTCGCCCCACGTGGCGCTGTCCCTGCAGCAAGGCGGGCCCCGATTCTGCCCTAGAGCAGTCGAGCCCCAAGTGTCACTTACGCTCCCTGGCCGAAGGGGCCGCTTCCCAGCGAGGAGGCACCAAGTCTCTTTGCGCCCGGAGAGCGCAGCTCGGAGACGAGGGCTGCTGCGAACAAAAGACCTTTACTTGCGAGGAAGCAGCGGACAGGACCGGGCAGCTGCCGGCAGAAAGAGAAGGCGGGGCTTTAGCTAATGCTCATTGCAACGCACCTTCCCTATTGAAGTTAGCTTCGAGTCAGAAGCGCCTGTACAAAACAAGTCCAGAGTCCAGAGTCCTGCAGCAGCAGCAGCAGCAGCAGCCTGGCGCGGCTCTCCTCTTTTTCGGGCTCGCGGCTCTGCAGCCGCTTCCTGCTCCTCGGATCCGGCCCCTCCTTTTAAAGGAGCGGGAGAGAAAGGCTCCCGTCGGGGAAGCGGAAACGTTGCAGTCGCCCCGCCGCTCCCGGCCCACTTGCCGTCTTCAAATGCTGAGATAGTTCACTAACTCGGACGCGAGTCCCACGTACATGACTTCATTTCCGAGCAAACCTATAAATAGGACCAGCGGAAGTGAAGTCTGCAAGCAATGAAAAATACTTGGAATTAAATCCCGCTGAAAGGGACAGGTCTAGGCTCCATGTAAACCATAGAACTGTAGAGTTGGGAAGGACCCCAAGGGCCATGTGCCGCAAGGCAAGAATCTAAACTAAAGCATGCAGGTGATAAAAACCAGGGCAGTTCTAGTTCCTCCACAGCTATAAAATAAACCCAGCTACCCCGGGGGCGGGGGCGGGGATTAAATACATTTTCATCAAATTTCCAATAATAAATAATAATAATAATTTATTATTTATACCCCGCCCACTCTGGGCGGCTTCTAATGGAATATTAAAATACAATAACCTATTAAACATTAAAAGCTTCCCTATACAGGGCTGCCTTCAAATGTCTTCTAAGTGTCTGGTAGTTGTTTTTCTCTTTGACATGGGGATGGTTTATTATTATTATTATTATTATTATTTTGCATTGAGTGATTTTCTAAATGCAAAGAGATTTTCACCTTGTTCCTGATGTAGATCTTCACTCAGCCCCTGGCGAGGGTGTGTGTGCGCCATTTTCTGGTTCGCCTCTGGTGCCAAAATGTCTTGGGCTGGCCCTGAATGAGAATGCCTGACCAGGTCTTCCCTGCAGGCTCTTTGGCAGCGTCTCTCTAGAGAGGAAGAGAGGTTGCTGCTTCTTTTCCTCGCTCCTCTCAGAGCTCGCTTGCTTGGAGAGGGTGGGCGGGCGGGCGCAGGCAGCGGCAGCAGGAGGGCCCAGAGACTCTAGTTGGCAGTGGGCCCTCAGCTGAGGTGTGGCTCTTGGCAAGTGGTTAGTGATGCTGACTCTGATTACAAACACACCCCTGTAGCAGCTGCCCTTGGAAATGCCCACACTACTTGGAAAATTGGGGAGCTGCAGGTGTGAAACAGTAAGCTCAATGCAAACTTGAAAGAGGTATCATTTTGTAAAGGTTCAGCTCCAATTCTTCAGTAAAGATAAACAATAGTTCTTCAGTAAAATCTGCAGATAGGAAAACTTGGCTCGACTGACTAATTTTAGCCAGGAATCTGTATTCTGTTGCTTTGGCTCTTAGTCTGATTGTTAAGACATGTGATGATGTAACTTAATAGTTTTCCCCTCCTATCATAAGTTTTTTTCTCATTTCCAGAAACATTTCTGGTGGCCACTGCAAAGCCTCTGAGGTGGAGGGCACTATTTTGGGGGTGGCATCCGCACAACATTGTGCTGGAGTCAACAGCATCCCATTTCTCCCCACCCTTCCTTGGGGGAGGGGATCTAGTTAGTGCAGTTAAGGGTGGCATAGGGGCAAAAGCCTCAAAGCTGCAGCTGTTTCAAAGTGGAACCATTTGATTTGGGGAGGCGGTTGATGTCTGACGTGTTTTGTGGCATTTCTTGGGAGAGCTGCTCTACTGCCATGCTTCCTCAGCTCTGGTTTGGCACAGCTATCCATCTATCTATCTATCTATCTATCTATCTATCTATCTATCATCTTTGTAGCAGTGAAGCAGGACTTGTGCGCCATTAAAAAGTCTAACATGGAATTTTGCTGTTCAACTCTGTTGGTGTGTGTAAAGTTTGCAAAAAAGGTGAGGCATCAAAGGTGCTTGTGGTGAAATGGGCTGCCTCCTCAGTAGTTCCTCCTTCCCTTCCTGCAGAAACCAAGTCTGACTGGTTGTGATTCTCTTGTGGCTCTGGTGGGATGTCTTAAGTTTGTAAAAGGAAAGGGGCAGTAGGAAGGGGGACAGCAAGGAAGGGTCAAGCAAGCCCTTTGCCCTTTGCCATGTAGCCTCAAGCTGCCCACTCAGTCCACTACACTGGGCAAGGGAATGACGACAAGCACTGTAAAACATTCCAGGCTGGGCTTGTTGCTGGTGGCCAAGTTCTGCTCAGCTCCTATTTAAGCACACACACGTGCAAGGGCAGCAAGAATTGTGCACAACAATTGCACAATCCATGGTACACTCAGATGCTTTCCGTGGCCAATTACAAAAAAAATACTCCTAGCTTGGTCATTTTTGTACATGCTCTGTGAAGTGTAGCATATGGGAAGTGTGGAGAAAGGGCAGGGAGGGAGGGGGAAATAGGCACTTTCAGTTATGTGCCATGCATTGGTGGTGCCTGAATACCATAGATGTAAAAATGTATAAATCTGTAAGGAATGGTGCTGTACTAAATGATATTCTGATAAAAGTGGAATGAGAAGGTAAAGAAATCAGCAGATTTCCATCCAAAAGCACCTTTACATCTGTAAAAGGAATGGACCCCCCCCACTCTGTCTATACCAAATGCCAGAATTTCAGCTAGTGTGGAAGTAACATAGGCAGAGCATTTTGTGTCCTGTCTCATACTAGACTTTTAGTGTTCAATATTTATTGGACCACCTATGTACCACATTTCAGTTTGCTAAGTATCCCTAACCAGGTTCAAAGGAGTTGCAGGGTTGCATGGGCTAACCCCATTGCTCCCATTGCTGACACACCGATTGGCCCCCCACTCACCCAGGGGCACATGCACACTGATGTCCATATGCAGAGCTGCTCCATGGCAAAGGCTGGCTGGCGGTGATGGTCCTGGCCCAATCAGGAACACCTCTTCAGAGGAAGCCCTCGAGATGTGCAGTTTTACTTCTTATGTATGCTGAAGACACAGTTGCTAGCGGTGCCATGAGCAGGGGTTGGGGTAGCCTTACACAATAGGGTTCACCTGAAATATCTTTAATAACCCATGAATTAGTGGGCTGGTGTCTAGATTCAGTAGCGTATATGCTGCATTTGTCAGCATGAGTTCTGTACAGTCTGTGCACACCACAGCTATTTGCATGCTCAGCTGCATCTGCATAAGCACATGCACATGCATGGCACAGTAGTCCTACAAACATATGGGGTACAAAAGATGAAATCAAGGGCAATGTGTTTCATTCCTGAATGTTATTACCCCTCATGGCTCTGCAATTGATCCAGCCTGATATTAATAATGCCACAAAGTAATTGTAAAATAATAGTAGTAATGACACACAAATAAAATAGTGAAGCAAACAAAACGCCTCATGCAAATGACAGGACAGTTTTACTATTAAGGTTACAGTCTTCCTCTTTGGCAAAAAGGCACTCATTACACTTCACACACACCCTCTCATCTCAAACATTCTATATTGCTGTATTTTCAGAGATTAAGAGATAATAAATTAGATCACCCAAACGAAATCTCTATTTGAAACAACAACAACAATAACAGGGTTTTTTAGTGCAGGATACATACACCAAAGACCTGTTCCCCAACCCTTTCCTACAGTTTTATAACACCCTCCCTCCTTGTTTTCTCACCTGACAAGAGAGGTTGAGGGAGGCACGGGTGGAGGTGTAAGAAACTGAGGTTACACCGATACTGGTTCTTCATCCAGACTAGTGGTATGGGAGTGCTTGCAGTTAATTAAGTGTAATCATTCCATAATAGCTTCTGTGAATAAATGGGATGATGTGGAGGGCGGCACTGAAAAGCAGTTTCATTAGGAATTAGCACTGATTAATATTCGGAGCAATTCATTTTTCCTTACTTCTTCCTTTCTGTCTTTTTAAATGTGCAGTTTTCATTCAGTTTTGAAAAAGCCAGCTTAAGAATCAAATGACAAGATAAACCATTTTTTTGCCGTTTATTTTTCTGGCTTTGAGCCCCAGGTGGTGTGTGCTTTTCCTCTCAGGATGCCCAAACAGAACTCTGTTGAAAAGCTCTGCATCAGCTGTGGATGCTGACCTGCAGGTTACAAAAAACCAGACCCTGCGAATCTTATGAAACAGAAAACTTACTACCTCTGCTTCATCAGAAGGCTCTTCATAGACGGGTTGCTTCATGTCTTCATAGGCAGACATAATCACAGCTTGAAATAAATTGATCAAAACGCAGATCATCACCATCATGAATGAAGCCAGGAAGAGACCCCCCAGAATCCTATTGGATGTAAAGGCAGTGTCTTTAAAAGCCGAAACACAGTAAGAGAAGACTGTCTGAGCAGAATGAGTCATTGTGTTGTAATTCCATTCGTGTTGTCCAAATACCAGGTAACCAAATGCCATGTATACAAAGAAGTACACCGCCACCACTAAAGCCATAGAACAGATGCCAGGAAGGGCTGCTAAAATAGATCGCTGAGCCAGGCGCACATCGTAAAAGAATCGGGAATACCGGAGAGTTTTCAAGACTATGAGGAAGACCAAGAAACCCAGAGTTATCCGCAATGTTTGATCAACATGGGAAACTTTATGGAACGGAACAAATTCATCTGGGTGAAGTAAAAACAATTCTGTTATTGCAGAA